CCTCAAGAAATTCAATATGATGTTTGTATGATTAAAGGTTGCCTTTTATCTCACAAATAAAGCAGACGAATTCTTAAGGAATAACTGGTCTACTACAAATATCAGATCTAATGTACCTTATCTTTTACTAATCTACAATATAACAGTAAAATATGAGAGCCATTACTAATGATTTTCTAGTTTAGCCGCACACAAATGCACGCAGACAAACGCAGACAGAAATTTTATATGTAAAACAATAACACTAGAGTGATTGTGCCTGTGTAAATCGATTGATGTGAAAGCACGTCATAAATACAAGTGTATTGTGTAATTCTACAGTCAGTTCGGAGTACTTTCCAGCTGAGAAGAACTGATAAAAAACTCAGCTGATAAGAAAATTTGTCCAGTATATTTTTAAATCCTTAATAATGGGTATTGCTTTTATTACTAATCGATGTACAAATCGTTAACGATTCAAGTTACTGTTTTGGATGATACGTATAATTAATATAGTATACCTTTTGGTATACGTTCAAAACGCTACACTAAACTCTAACTAGTAAGACAATTGTGCTGAGTGTGCCGCAGACTCACAATGAGATATAACTCTGAACTTTTTCTGATCTTACCGACAACTCGTGTTGCTATTCATCACACCGCGCGGTTTTGACGGTTCTGGTTCAAAAGAAGTATCTTAATTCATAATAGCTTATAATAATTTCGGGAAAACTCGACATTAAAGAGTCGTTTGATACTTATAAAATTCAATACAACTAAGAAGACTAACTAACAATCCAACTGAAGAAACTTTAACTTAATTTAAGAGGCGCGACAGATTGTGAAATTTTGAGAAATTGTTTGAAATCTACGTGGAGTTCTTGTGATTTAAATAGTTCTAGAAAAGTAAATTAAAACCATTTAAATTACATAATATAAATTTTTCCAAGCTATTAACTGGTCAAAAAGAGAATTATTTCGCCTGAATAAGTAAAAGTTGCGTGTCCATTATTTGCGTCATTACAGTTGATCAAGATCTATTAGTTAAGCAACTATTCGTAGTAGCAATCTATATAATATAATAAATAAAACTTAGGCTACCGTCCGTATGCCTTTAATGTATTACTATTAAAATTATTGTTATGTGAATATAATTAAATAAGTTTCTTTCCAGGCATTAACTGTTTTTAGCTATATGTATTCTAATATTGACTAAGATTGTCTTGATAATTTCACGGGAACAAAAAGAGGGCGAGTGGAAAAAGGTACACCCAATTCGCAGGACTTATAGATTGCCTGAAGGCGTTGACGTAGGTACCTGTACTAAGACGTGAGCAATCCTTATTGATCGGTTTAACCTAATGACATAAAGCCAGAACAAAGTTGACATAATTGTGTCAACTTTGTTCTGGCTTTCAATTAGGTTTAGCGGTTTACTTACGATGATCACGGGTTCGATTCCTGGCATGGTGCAAACATTTGTATTCCTAAGTATGATTGATTATATCGGTCTGAGTGTTTACTAAGTAGTTACATTATAGCTATTATCTCTGTACCTATTTACAAAAAAATGTAATTTATTTATTTATTTTATTTAAAAACTTTATTGAATTTGTACAATAGGCGGGCTTAATGCTAATAGCATTCTCTACCAGCCAACCTTAGGGAGTGCAGAGATACTCGAAGGCGGTTTAGATTAAAGAAATTAAATGTAATTATATTAAATAGATATAAGATCATACATATACATGATAATATACTACATACAAACGAATTATGAGCATACATACATACATATTTATATATATTATAAACATACTACACATATAAATAAGATAATGATGATGATGATCATTTTGCAGTTCTATGATAGACTATTTAAAAGGTAAGCATTAACACTTTTTTTAAAACTATATTTTGTAGGAAGTGTACGAATGTCTTCAGGCAGTGAGTTCCAGAGACGCGAGGCTTGCAAAATAAAAGAGTCAGACATGAAACTACTTTTATAGAGGGGCGTAGCTAGGACGAGGGAATTTTTAGAGCGCAGGTTACGGTCATGGGCGTCCCTGAGATACTGAAATTTGCATTTCAAGTATTCAGGGGAAGAGGGATCAAAGAGAATAGAAAAGAGAGAACAGAGTAACCGTTGCTGTCTGCGCTGACGAATTGGAAGCCATTTGAGTTTGGAGCGGTATGAGGAAATGTGGTCATACTTACGTAGGCTGAAGATGAACCGAATTGCATTATTTACAAGACGTTCTAATTTATTGAGAAGATCTTCATTAAGATCGGGATAACACACATCAGCATAATCAATGATGGGAAGTATAAGAGATTGGACTAGACTGACCTTTGTTTTAATAGGAAGAAAATTTCTGAATCGATTTAAGAAGCGCAGAGATGACACAACCTTACGACTAACATGCGCAATTTGCGGAATCCAACTCAGAGTTGAATCTATATGAAGACCAAGATTTTTAACAGTCTGACTAAAAGCAATTACAGAATTATCAAACGTGATAGGCGTAATGGTATGGAAATCAATTTTAGCCAACTGTTTTGGGCTACCAACGATTATAGCTTGACATTTTTTAGGGTTAACTTGTATACCGAAATTACAAGACCATGTGTAAATGCTACATAGATCTTTGTTGATTTTCGATATAGCCTGATTTATGTTATCGTAAGAGAAATGCTCATAGATTTGCAAATCGTCTGCGTAAAAATGATAAGAACAGCCAAGAATAGGAGAAAGACAGTTTATAAAAGTGGAAAACAATAATGGGGATAGAATCCCACCTTGGGGTACGCCGGTTGATAGATCACACCAGTTAGATAATTTACCATCAATTCTGATGGCTTGTTGTCGTCCCCGAAGGTAGGATGAGAACCAATCCAAAGCTGAGGATGAGAACCTTTGGTGTAGCAAGATGGATAGGAGGATGTCATGGTCTACCATGTTAAACGCATTGGAAAAATCTATTAGAACGAGAATGGTGACCATATTATCCTCCATACCCGACCGAATATCATCAGTAATTTTTAGAAGAGCAGTAGAAGTGCTATGTCCAGGGCGAAACCCAGACTGGAAAGTGCTAAGTAGATTATTATTAAGGATGAAGGAGGAAACTTGCCTATATGCAGCTGCTTCCAGGACCTTGGAAAGGAAAGGCAGGATTGATATCGGTCTAAAATCGTTCAATTTATTAGGTATAGGTATTTTAGGAAGAGGAAGAATGAATGCTTTTCGCCAGAGATGGGGAAATGTACCAATAAGGAAGGAGTGATTAATGATATGAGTTATAATAGGGAGAATGGAACTAAGGATAGAGATGATCATTTTCCGGTTCACATCGTCACAGCCCACCGCATTAGACTTCAAAGATTGAATAATTTTGTAGGTTTCATCCTCAGCTATTGGAGAAAATGAGAAAGAATCAATATCTGGCTGGGCCATGGAAGATATTTTAGAAACAGTGAGTAATCAATTTTTATGATTTGCTAGGACCCAAGTTTTGCTTAGCTTAGGACTAGATGGCGCTGTGTGAGTTCTACTGATTTATTATTTATTGAATAACTAATTTTTATTATTTCCTTTATATTATTAATTGAATAACTAAGAATTAAAGAATGCTCTTATTCTCTAAGCTAGTATATTTGTACTAAGGAAAACATGAAGGATTAGGGGAAGAACGATGATTCGTTTGCTTGACAATTACGAATGTATGTAATAACAAAAACTAATTTTTACTATTGTATATATATATTGTATTGTACGCTTCTAGAAATATTTGAATAGATCGCTATATTTTGTTCGAACCTATCGATTATAAGCGAAGAAATATGAAATATTGTATAAGTTTACGATTTTTTGAGACGCATCCTCGGCCCTAAACAACTCCTAGAAGAGATGAAATAGATAATAGAATTTTTGTCCAGCGAGTTCCAAATATTGATACTGTATGAGATTTAAAAGAATCTTAGTGGTAACTGTTAAGCTGTATGGTGGAACAATAGCGAGAACGCACTGTATCGTACCTAATTCGTGAACAGTTTGCCACCTACATGGTGTCTCCGGTTACGTCGTATGAGCCTAACAACGCGGGTGGTACGCTGAATATAAACTCCCGGTAAATGGAGTACAGCTACTCGAGTTCGATCATGAGCGTCGTACCATTACAATATAGAAATACACTGGTGTTAATAATAATATACTAAATAATGTTTCATTATAATTCCAACACAATATCAATAATTGGAATTATTAATAATTAAACAATCTTTTATGTAAATTCACGTATATATAAATTGTTTTGTCTTTCGTATAAAGGTATAAACTGATTGAAAACATGATTATAAAGAGCTCTTCAGGGAAACCTATACTATATAGACATTATGCTCTATTGAGTGAAGGAAAAATGTGGTTAAAATATTATGAGGAAATACTTGAAGAATTTATAAAATGAAGGACGTAGTATGTACGTCGGTAAAATATACATCTGCCTACGTCAATCGATTCATGTCGAGTTTGATATAGGTATATCTATCACATGTGTAGTTTATTTTCTTTCCTTTTGCATGAAGTGACATGACATCATAATAATTGTCATTTGCTATTGATACCCGTTACGGTGATTGTTTAACAAAACTGTTTACTATGTAACATAACCTCAATAAGTAGTGTTTGTTCCCTTGAAATATTGAAGAATATTATTATCATCTTAAATGGACTGTCTAGGTATTTTGTTTTCGTAAAACGGTGTATATATGTAGAGATGTATATTATGTGTGTAGAGATAACATTATTCGTAAACATTATAAATAAGGAAGTTTTCAATACAAAATTTGTATATATTTTGATCAATATGCTAATATGTTCCATAAATTGACATAAACAACGCGTTAACTTCCTAAATGAGATCAGCTTATCTTATTAGTAATAAGTTAAATGGTGAAGGTCAATTTGATTATAGTCGTATTTGGCTGCAGCGTGCATGATATACGTAGTTCATAAAAATTACCTAGTTAGGTCAAGAGCAGCTGGCATTCCAGCCGGCACGAACCACCACGGTGGCAGCGGTGTGCACATCCGCTGCTGCGGCGCTCCTCACGTACCAGGCGCCACAGTTACACGAGATCAGACCCTATCACTAATATCACATTCACCACTCACAATGGGAAGGTTCAAAGCGCCAATGTCAACCAAGCGTCATGGTTCAGTGCGCCTTGATTGACCTGATTACAGATAACGGTGACGCAAAACCGTTTGGCAACTTAGTTTAAACGCCCACAACAGCCTCAACGCCACGAGAGCTTTCCGGTTAGTCAAATTGAGGAAAAAATAATTATCACTGCAACAAGTTAATTAGTCAATCTAGGAAATAAATGAAGAAGGAAGCGCTGCTGGTCGTGTCGAAATCTATCTCAAAGTGATGATCTATTACGATATCAAGAGACATGAGCAATAAAAATATTAAAGCAAAGGGCTAAGTCGAGAGTTGGATTTTTCAAACTTTAGGGGAGTCGATAATTAAAGGGGGCGATTGTGACTATAGAGAATAAGGGTTGGTTATAGCGCTAGTGTTAGGGTCGATAAACTTTTTATTTAGGGCCAACATGTTCATTGAGGACGATGTTAGGAAACTAGCGAACAAGCGGCTGTGAAGGGTGGATATAGTTGCTTTTCGAGTGATTTTTTTGGAGGAGACGAACATGTGTGGCGATGTTCGCGTGTCGCGGGACGGCGCGAGGCGGTCGGCCTGCGTGTGGCTCTATGTCGGACTGACGTCTGACAGCATAGTGGATTGCGAGTGAACCAAGCGTCGTAGCGCCGCCGCCACCACTGTCCGCCCCCGCGCCGCTCTTGCCGAGCCATGTGCCCAATTCACCCTAATTTTACCTTCCCGTAGCGCTATTTGCCGAACTCACAGTTGAGACGACATAATCTGACAAAATTCATCATGACATGAAAGGTTTCTGAGACGCTGATTGAACATTTTCTGATATAACGGTAACTGACATTGAAATAAAACAAAAATTTGTAATTTGAGTATGGTACTCGTAAACACAGAAAACTACAAGTTTTGTTATAAATTCAAAAATATAAAATCTTGCAACATTATCATTTTATAAGGATCCGCAATATATTGAGAAATGGGTAGTCATATACTCGTCATTTAATACTTTGTTTATTTTTTAGGGAAATACAGTTAATAATAAAATAAACTACATATATTTTGTAATTCTTAAAGGGTTTTTAAAAAGCTATGTAATAGTCCAGTTACATTTAATGTGTTAAATTAAATGTAGAGCAGTTTATATGGGACTAGTTTAGGGACTGATAAACTGTTCTATTTCTGTATGTAACCGATAAACACACAGTCAAATGTCTTTAAAATGAGATGATGAGCGAAATTACTGTCTATTTAGATACCTTTTTTAAGGGAAATGAACAAGAAATATACATTTCTCATTCAATGATCTCCAAATTTTAGAATTAACCAAATTTTGTTAATTAGCTTTATTTTAATAACTTGTGTTTTACAATAAAGCATACATATTTAGTAACAAAATATATAAGTTAAAAACATAGCATTAAAAGAAGCAAGGCAAAGTAGTAACAATGGACGACCTTATCCTTGAATAGCGATCTCTACCAGCAACCCCAAGATGAAAAAGAGTAGTTAGATTAGCAATAACAATTCTAAATCATAAACGTAATAATTAAACTGAATAAGACAATCTCGTGGACCAGTGGTTTACTGTCCAGACTTATATCCAAGAGCTCGTTAGTTTAAATCTGGGCAATCTAAAATAAATGAGAGTGAATTTATATTTCTGGTTAATTTAACCCCGATATTAAACCAAAAATTAATTTGAGAGAAGACGATGGGATCGCCTTCTGCCAAGTTGGCCATTTCAAGTGTTGCGTTAACTATGACATCAACAGTTGACTACTCAAATTGGGATAACTTCTGTGTTTGTATATTTATATCTTAATATAATATATTTTATAATTATTTTACATAACAGACAAGAGATTTGTTAATGAAAATAAAAAAGAAGTTTATGTCAGTTACAGTTAGCATTAAAATCAATGTACAAATAATTAACAATTGTCGCGGGTACTATCAAGAGTAAGTCAAGGATTTTATTGTTAAGATGCGAAGGTTGTCGTGTTACACGTTAAAGCATTGTTTTGATTAAGCAAAATAAGCAATTTAGTGTAATGAAAAGATAATATAAATGACTTGAATTTTTAAATTTTACTGGTTGAATCCCGCGCCGTTGTCCACGTCCCAAAACGCCCATGTTATTCGCTAACAACGTATCCTTCCTAATTTTTAATGTAATTTTAAAGGCAAATAGAGCCGTCAGCTCACCCGATAGTAATTGGATAATTGTAGAATATACATGAACAGCTACAGATATGACTTTCTTATGTGTTGCTGTTTCGGAGGATTAATATAGCATGCCTCTTATCCTGTAATTTCACTGTTTTATCTTCCTTTACAACCGAAACACGTCTTACAAAGCAACTTTCATCGCGGCTGAATTTAGATGAGACTGAGGTACTAAGGCAGACGTTTTTTACAGTCTAAAACTAAATGAAAGCTTACTCTGTTTTTTGTCCATCTTTTTTGTTTGGTTGTTTTCTACCTTTATCCACGTTCCTATAAAATATTTCTTTAAGTCGTGATCCTCACTTCTCCGCTGAACATGTCCATACTAATACATGTTTTCCTCTTATTTTAGCGAAGATATGTAAAGAAACCTATGTTATTACATTATGTGTTACTAACGTATGGCGTATCAATGTATGTATTACCTGTAGTGACCTTAGTACTTACGACTAAGTGGTTATACAAGGTGAAATTTTGTACGAGTGAATGGCGCTACAAAATAAGGATGATAGAGGACATGCGACCCAAGAAACCTTGGACGCATCCCCACAATACTCTTGCGCAATACTATATACACGGTAGTCAGTTTACATTCAAGTTGTTAACCAAGTATAAATACTAATTAGATGTTGGCCGGTAATATTATGTTTATGCTTCGATACTAAATAAAATAAAAAAATAAAATAAAAATAGAATCTTTTAAAAATCTAAATTTAAATAGATAGGTAAATTCTAAATCTATCTCTAATACTTGTTAAGGTCGTCAACGTCAGTATACATTTCATTCAATGAAATTATAGTAAAACTAAAACGGAAAACTATTAAAAGGGAAATAAATGGTATTTCTACAAATGTCTAAGTAATTTTCAGATGATTAGAGTATAAATGAAAATGACTAAATAAAAATATATGAATTTAGATCTTTTTGACATGGATCTGTTAAGAATATTTAGGTATATTCACGTCGGTATACATCTCCACAACCTCGGTTGTTGTAGCCTTCAAGTCTACTTACGCAGATAGCATTGCGAAAGTTGACAACCAAATACGTGAGCAGATTTTAGAGGATCGTCGCTCTTATTGTATTATCGTTTTGCATTTCTATTTTCCATTCTCGTGAGACTATTTTGTAAATATATTTTGGAATTTGGCAGTTAGCGTGCGGTGTCGTCGAAACAGAATGGGATTAACGTACGACGACCTACAAGGGGTGGTTGACTGATGTGATAAAATAAAACAAGTAAGGTTTCAGGTTCGATTTATAGTCAAAAGAAATGACCTAAGTAAATTCAATATTAAAATAATCAGATTTTTTATTTAAATCATTAGAGATTGTTGCTTTGTTATTTCTCAACGTTGTCTTTAAGCAATATAGAATATTAATAGTTCTGGTGGTACCTACATAATAACAGTTATATTGTAATTATATAATTTACGCAGGCAAACCAATTATGCGTCGCTAATAGATACCAAGCCATGAAAAAGAGAAGGTGAAATGAGATTTTTCTATACACTCGAAATGTATTCTATATTGCCATGAAACAGCATAAATTACTGCCAATGGTCCAGTATACGACGAGATTTCAGAAACGAATGGTGAAAATTTAGGCTTATTGTTTTCTCCACTGAATCTATTATGAATGTAATTAATGGTAGACAGTAGTATTAGGACTATATTTAACAATTTACCTGAATTTGAACCTGTGGGGTTTACAAATTTGTCTAATGTGCACGCTTATAATGTGCACCTATGTGCTAGACAAGTGTCTATACTACGGTTTCCGGCAGCTATTGAATAGGACCCATAGTTCAGGGTTGTGATCGGTATAGCCACATTCCAGAAACTAGCGAACCTGTTTGTACTAAACAATGAAGTACGATGTGTATGTTAAGAGCGCATTTTTTATATTTAGAAAATCTAAAAATGAGAGTATTTGTTTTATGCTTCCTTTGCACTCCCGTGAATCCTACAGAATAAGAGGTAAAATTATGGTACTCCCTGATGGATGAAATGAAACAACAAATTTAATTAGTATAATGAACACCACTACTTAGATACTCGAATTCTCAGATACATATCTACTAATATAGAATTAGTAAGTACTACTAATGTAGGTACATAATCAATTTATTATGCTTTGGTCAGATAATGGAAAGTCAAAGTCGATTAGACAAAATGCTAGTAATATTGTGGTATGAAGCTTGGAGCAATGACATCATAAGAAACAATCTTATATACAGATAATTACAGGCTCTTTTAGGTTCTTGGCGTTCGTTAATGGGTTATACTGTAACAATGCGATATTACGGCCCACTCGGGATACCTACATAAATGGCGAATTATGTCCATAAGTTCATACGCAAACGAGCTGAAGTTAATGCTCGAGGTTTCGGCGGATGGCGCAATATTGTTGGTATAATTGTCGTATAACGTTAACCACGTACCGGCGACTGTGAACATATTAGTTCTGTCATTAAGAAATGTTTAATTTTGATTTAACTACTTTAGGTGCTAGTTCACTACGGAGAGCGGTGTTGTCTTTGAACTAACTTCTGAGCAAATTCTTCCATTTACTGCCTTCGGTAGAGTGATTAGTAGTCATATGACATTACTACGATGGTGTAAAAATGGATAACATGTACAGGATTTTATACTTTCAGTGGCATTATACTTGGCAGTGTCCTCGCATGAGTAAGAAAATAAACAAATATGCAAGTAAAAAGTATCCTATATTCACATTCATAGCAATTTAATTTAATCAATAATTTTATTGTAAATAAAGTTATCATTGGCATCCAGTGATAAATAAGTTTAAACAATTCGGTAGCGTCGGTCAATAATTGTATGGATACTGTGAGTGCTGCGTTTCCATTAAACAATCTTTTGACGGTAGTTGAAGTTGTAGACGAAACTGCTGCACCTACTACCATTGACATTGTTGTACTCTAGTCAGCTTGTAATAACGGCTTGTAAAACCTAGTCGAAACGTCTGTAGAGATAAATACCACATTTACCATATAATTATTCGTGTTAAGTCCAAATTAACTATACTATGAATGTGTAGTAAAGGCGAAAGTTTAAAATTGATTTAATTTGTAGGCTCTATTTATGGACCAAATTTCATTCGAATTCTTTCAGTAGTTTTTGCGAAGAATTACAAGCATCCATTGACGTCCTCGGTGGTTTAAAAGTTTATCACACCGCCTTACTTGTACGATACAACTATTCTAATTCCCATATTATATGAATATCCCTGTCTGTATTAAATTGGGTATTTGAGTATTTTATATATGTATTATATGCTATTTAATGGCGCACATAATATATATCAGTAAACTGATTGAAATAAAAGAAACACAAAATATCATGTGAAACTCTCACATGAAAT